GATTATTAGGTATTATATTTATGTCAATTTTATTATCCAAAATATCAGGTTTTTCCTGACCCATTTTATCACTCATAATTTCTTCATTTTTCTGAATTTCCCCAGAATTATTTAATAAATTTTTAATTTCACCACTTTTTAGGATTTTATTTTCCAAAAATTCATTTTCTTTATTATCACAAATTTCTTGATTATTATTTATCATATTCTCGAAAATTTCATTTTTCATCAATTTATTTCCCGAGTTTTTAACATCTAACTCTTTTACAGATTTTTTTAATACTTCAATATTTTTATTATCATTTTTCTCTTGAAATATATTCATCAAATTCTAATCTAAATTTTGATATCCAATTTTATCCCAAAACTGTATCAATTTTTTCTTCTAATACCCACATATTATCACAAATTTCTTGATTATTATTTATCATATTCTCTAAAATTTCATTTTTCATCAATTTATTTCCCGAGTTTTTAACATCTACCTCTTTTACAGATTTTTTTAATACTTCAATATTTTTATTACCATTTTTCTCTTGAAATATATTCAACAAAATATTTTCTAATCTAAATTTTGATATCCAATTTTATCCCAAAACTGTATCAATTTTTTCTTCTAATACCCACAAAATCCAAATTTATTAATTCGTTATTTATTAATACCGGTACATTTACTTTCCCCAATGCCATAATTTCTGAACCATTCAATTGTTTTACCCTCATTTTATCTTTAATTATGTGTTCATTCGGCCATAACTTGTAAAATTCATTATACCCCATCACAGATATTGTTGCCCCTGTATCCAAAAACATCAAAATCTCTTTATTTCCTACATTTACTTTTACTCTTAGACATTGATCAAAATTTTTATTATCTTCCAACTTGAAAATCGGTAAATTACTAATATGTATATTCTTTCATGTTTCATTTTCCAACATATTTTTATAAATCCCATAAGTGTTATTTACATTTCCTTCATTTTTTCTTTCTATTTCATTATGATCATTTATCTTATTTTTATATATATTTTCTTTCAATAGATCCAACTCATTTTTTGATGTAACTCCTCCAAATGTTTTTATTTCACTATCATACAGTCATCCTGCTGTGCAATCTTTCGCATAATGACCAATATTACGACACTTAAAACACGTTATATCTTCCACAATTCTTTTTTCATAAATATTATTCCCTTCATTTTTTCTATATTCCACCGCTGGAAATGGTTTGGAATTTCCCTGTTGATTTTTATAACACTTATCCTGATTATGCCCAAACTTTCACACGCCGCTGTAATTTTTTGTTTTTCATTTAATAATTTATATGCCGGAACGTAACATTCCTCAGCATTATGTCCTCGGTTTCCACATCTTTTGAAAATTACTAGTAACATTTTTTTATTCATTCCTTCATTACATTCTCTGCTTATATGTCCATATTTTCCACAATTATAACACGTTCTATTTTGACCCGTTCCACTATTATACCTTTGATTTGCTTCATTCAATTTTTTATTTCCCATTTCATCTCTTCAACTCTTTTAAGTAATTCTATTTTTTCTTTACTTTCCCTTTCCAAATTTTCTTTCTCAATTTTCTTTTTTTTTATATTTTCAATCTCTATTTCTTTTATAACTATATCCTTTATCATATTTATTATCTCAATTTCATTATTTTCATTTCCTATATTTTTATTTTCCGTATCAATTTCATTTCTTTCTTTTTTAGAATCTCTAATAATCTCTGTTTTATCAACATTAATTCCAAATTTTCTTTTTTTAGAATCTCCAAAGATATCTGTTTTTAATATTCCTATTTTTCATCAAACATATTTCATTATATAACTTTTCCATTTTATCATATTTTTCATTTTTTTCTCTAGCCATTTGTTTTAACAATCTTATTTTATTCGCCTCTCTATTAATATTTTTTCTTTTATACCAAATATAAATACTTAATATTAGACTTAAAACTAATACTAAATAAATACATTGAGACAAATTCCTGATTTCAATATAATTATAAGCTTTTATCACTTTTTTATTAAAAATAATTTTTTTTTAAAAAATTTACCTTAAAATTTATTCAAATTTTTGTGTAATTATAATAAATTTATTAAAAATTTTATTATAAAATCTTTATAATTCTAAATGAAAAAAAAAATATGCTAAAGCTATTATTATTAATAAAATTGTTATATAATACATTCAAATAAAAATGTTTTACCTTTTATTATTATGAATTTTTCCTTTTCCACCGTGATTGTATATTTTATTAGTACACTGCGTTCACTCTTCCCCAGATATCTTCTCCGTTGGTTGAATAAAAAAAATAAACGGCACCAAACTGTTAGAAAAAGGAAAAGAAAGAAGGCACTTTTAAATATTTTATTTTTTTCTGAATTTAACAACATAAAAATAATAATCAATAAACGCTGATTTTTACAAAATATAATATATTGCACAAATTGAACGTTTGCGTTTGCAGTACGTTTTTTAACGTAACTCATCTGTGTTTAAATTGAAAGCAGTACGTTTTTTCTATTTTAAAATTGAAAACATTTTTATTAAACAATATGGAATTTTTTAGTTTACAAGATAAGCAACTAATTGCTTTATATTTACTAAAGAGAAGGAAATCTACGAAGACAAGAAGGAAGACCTCAAAAATATTTATGGAGAGAAATTTATTTTCAGAGTATATTACTATAAAAGCAGATTTTACTCCATCCCAATTTTTCAATTATACAAGGATGAGGAGAACGACTTTCTCCTATATTCTGAATCTCATAAAAGACGATATACAACCTAAGGTGACGAATTTCAACAAGCAATTAAGTGTATATGTATTTTACACAACATTATCATATCCTTGGAGGGCTTACCTGATGATGTTGATCAGATAGGTATTTAAAAAATATTTAATATAAATTGGATAAATCTATATTTTGTTATTTTAAAAAATATATTTACAGATATCACGAACTTGAATGTAAGACCTATGTCTGTTATTAGGGACAATAATGCATCATCTAATGAAGCAAGGAATATCAGAAATTCATTCAAAATTTTTTTAAATTCATAAATGATTTTATATTATTATTTATATTTATTTTATCTTAATATATTTTTATTTATAATCTACATATATTAATAAAAATGCTTAATAAATTTTGAATAATAATTTTTCTATTATAATCACATAAGGTGATGTCAAAAAATTAGCTCAATAAAACATAGTAAATATTTTCTATATAGTCAATATCTTAAAAAATCATACACTATTATTCTTTTTACATTAATTTCTAGATAATATTGCCTAAACTATGGTTAAAAAAAATTGCAAAGGGCTTGTGATAAACATTGGCATATATTCTTAGAAAGGCATCAAATTTTGATCTCTAATTATTGTTTCAAAATTTATAATATATATACTTACTAATTTTAAATTTACAATTCTCCCAACCATGATATCCCTGATATTTTTATTTATTAGATTTTCATAAATGTTAATTCAATCACATTCTTTCATAATTTGATATACTATTTTATTAAAAAACTATATATTTTAATAAAAATGCCAAATGATAGTTAGCTCATTTATATATTTTTTTGAAAAATGGACACTATTAATATTGAATACTACTTTATTTTATATATAAATATATATATTTACAATAATATTACAAAAATATAAATATTTTTAATAAAAAATCCTTGAAGTTCTTCATCTTCTTCTTTATGCATGACACAGTTGTATCATGCTGAGGAAATTCAACTTCCATGCTATTAAAAATATAATTTCTTTAATCTTATATATATATTTATACCTTTGGCTAATGGATGATAAACCATTTAGCACTAATGTAGAATTTGTATGGTCTGGATGCTGCTGATTCCAGACCATTTCTTGACTCTCTAATAAGGCACCGAATTTTTTTGTCACTATGTCGTCCCACACTCTAAATAACATATAATAATTATATAAATGTAAAATAATTAACTTACAATTTCGCATTTGTTTCCATTTTAAAATTTAAAAAAGTTTATTAAATATTTTTAATATATTACAATATGTATAATTATATAAAATCACTAAATAAAATTAAAAATATATATTGGCGAGAAATAAAAACGCATAAAAAAATCAAACTAGTTTGCTTTTTTTTTAACGCTTGCCGTAAAAAAATCCAATTTGCACAACACCATTTAAAATGCATTATTTGCTTTTAAAACGGAGCGTTGAAAAGCTCAATTTGTACGCACTATAATATTATTCTTTTTATCCATTATTTTTTAAATAATAAATAAATATTTATTATAATACAACACTTACTTCTCACATTTGACAATCATATTAAAAAAATTATAAGGTTCCATTATGATACTTTATATATCAACTGAACTGATAGAAGAAAGTTTAAGTGTTCATTTGATATAAAGTTTATGTATTTCAGTTTGATTTGAGAAATCTAAACATTATATGTCAGGAAAATTTTTGCTGAATCTAAACTTAAATATTTCTCAACTGAAATAAAGTGTTCTGACATGTCCCCTGTTCTGTTTTGCTCCAGCCTCTCCTATAAGTATTTTTAGTCATTGTTTCTGAAAAAGGATACTTAAGTTATTTATAAAATCTTCATATATTTTTTAGTTACTCTCAGATCTCATGTTTAACTGAAAGGAAAAAAAAAACTGAACTGGGAAAATGCAAAACATTTCAAGATTGATTAAGAGAAAGAAAATGTCACATATTTTATTTAAATTATCAAAATACTGATGTTGTCCCTTGATTTTTTGTACCTCCATAATCTCGGTCTTTCATACTCTTTCGTGTGCAATTTCAATTTATAAAATTATTAATATTGTAAAAAAATTTAAATGAAATAATTTAGAATTATTTCAAAAATAATTTATAGACCGCCCATGGAGGAAATTCTAGAGCTATGCATTTGTTTACATATTTTATGAAATTTTAATAAATCATCCAATATTTTTTAGAATGATACTCTATATTTGGTTTGGAAACAAGAAGTTAATATGCCCATATTTTCTTTGCATAATCACGTATTGCCCGTGTATCTATTCCATCATACCCCCAATTCCGTAAAATCACAAGAAACACAGGAAGAAAACACGATTGAAAAAGTTCAATTCACCCTTGACCTTTCAGATATCGTAATTTCAATATTTTTTTTATCAAATTATTCAGTTAAATGGTTATATTTCAGTGAGGTAACTCATTAATAAAGTATCAGTCGCCATAAGTATATGTTAATTTAATTTAATATATTTTATTTTAATTTTATGAGTAAATTTTTTATAAATATATACATAATACCCTCATCCAAATTAGTTTGTCCTCGTGACATTTATTTCAGCAATTAAATTATAAAATTCAACATAAAATTTAAATTTATTTTTTTACTTTAAAATTTGAATTGTGTAAAAAAATTTGGACATGGGCAATATGCATATTAGAACTATTGGCGGCCCGAAGTATTAAAAATTTTTCCTTTCCAAAAAATAATTAAGAGCCGGTCTAGAAAAATAAATAGGGCTAGGTCAGGCAATTTGCGCAAAATATTTTTCTGTAAGAGCCGCTAAAATATTACGGGTAGGGCTGAAAAATCTTTTTTGAAATTCTCTGATACATTCATTCTAATATTTAAACAAAAAAGTTTAAAAGCAACAATTATTCCTCTGGTTCCAACTATTTGTGCCAACTTTTCAGGTTACCCTCTTTAACAAGCCGACACCATATTATCAAGGTATATATTGTTTTAAATTTAAGTTATATAGTACCTGTTAAATCTATTGAAATTTTTTGATAAAGAGTCCATAAGCAAAGTACATTAAAGGGTTAAAAGATAATATATATTTTAAAAATGCAAAATAAAAATAACCACGGGAAAATAAAAGATATTTTAAACAGAAATAAACAATTCGAATTTTCCATAGGAGGGAACCGGTCGAAAGACCAAACAGATATGGGTTTAGAGGTGTGTCCCAAAGTTTTTTAACATATTCTTGGATACGTTCTGGCTATGTGCCTGTTTAGGAGTGGTTCCCTGAGTGTATATTAGTCCTTAAGTACTCTCCGTAGATTCCTAGGTATTGTTTGTATTCGAATTCGGTTAATAGCATAGTTTTACCATCCCATATTTTTCTCAATATATACGATTTCAAATATCGAAAAAGAGTTATTGCTCATCATATTATTCATTATCCCCGTTTATCCATAAGATCGTGTTAAAAATATATGGATTTTACTTTTAATTTTTAAGAACTATAAATATATATTTGCATGGTTTAAAATAAAAAAATTTATATTATATAATTTTCTAAACCATAACTACAATTTTTTATATCCCCATAAAAAATATGTAGCCAAGATTATTTAGAACCAAATTTTAATAACTCGAGCAGGACTGAAAAATATTTAAACCAAGATCGGCGGGCCTGAAAATGGGTACATCTGCTAGTCTCTCATTGTTATATTTAAACGATATCTATATTGAAAATTAATATCAATAATAATAACCAATACTAAGGCATCTGGAAGGATGCTAATGATAAACTAATGTAGTCCTATTGTTCTAATATCTAATTATAACATCTAATATATTTTATTTGAAAGCATAAATTATTAGGAAATTTATTCGCGAATCACAAAATAGGATCTGATGAGGAAATCATTCAAAATTCTTTGAAACACGTGGGGCTTCACGGGTGCCAACCTGATTTACAAGGTCATTTTTATACAGATACCTCATATTTGTGTTACCAAAGTACATTTCCACCGAATCTATTCTCATGCAACGAGATGATTTCCGGTTGGGTTAAAGGTGGTGAAAAGGTTAGTTTTAGTTAGATTCATAACATATTATATACACTATCATTTTTAATGTATTTTTTTTATTATACAATAAAAATAAAATAAATGTGCACTTATAATATTAAACAATAATAAATTTTTAAATATTATAAAAAGGTATTATTGTCTGATATATTTTGTACAAATCTTAAGCAAATTAAGATATTCAAGAATCTTATTACTGCGAAAAAAATAACCGAACCTTTATTTATTGGTCGAACCGAATCTATATAAATCGTTTTACATACATAAATTGTAATTTTAAAAAACCATATAATTTGACAAGTAAAAACAATTTTAAGGATAGTTCTAAATCGCTAAAAATTGGGAATCTCACTTATACCTCCTAGATAATTTTAAAAGTAACATTAGAAATAATATTAATAGATCCTAGGAAAGTAAACACATTTATATTTGAATTGAGTGTTTAAAAAAAACCACGGAGGAAATATTATTATTGGTTTCAGAATTGGGAACAACTTTTGAGAATATTGATGATATTTCCCCCATTTTTAGCGATTTTTTTTTAAAAAAAACTCATACAATTAATTACTCCTCTAGCATCTATTAATATTAATATCAAACTTGCATTAAAAATTTTCTAAAAAATATAAGTGAAATTTTAATTATTTTTTTTTTGTTTTTAACAATATTTTTTTTAGCGATTTAGAACGGGTACCGATTTTTATGGAAATTGAAATTTAACACAAAATTTAATGGCAAAAATTTCTACAATTCATAAGGTAGTGAATTTACATATGCTGGAATAATATTTCCAGGTGAATCAGACTTTCCATATTTAAAATTTGCCCTCGTTAAATGATATAAAAGTGAGAGATTCCGAAACATGGATTCCATATCCCAATACGACATATATTCAGGAAACTTGTCTAATTTGGGTTCTTATTAATTCGGGCAACTCCCTAATTTGATTAAAATTTTGAATTCCCAATCAAATTCCTATTAATAACTATTATCTTGATAAATTGGGCAACTGTTTAAGTTGGTCCCAGCGGGGCCCATAAAGAGGTTTTACTGTAATTACAGTTATATATTGTGCTTACAATTGCTCGTCTAAAATATATATTCTTATTTATAAACATCAAATCTTATTTAATTAAATATTGTGGACTTTTGATTTTGAAGCACATATTTCTCATATTCATGTTTATTACTGATTAATTTTAAACATTTATTATGCTTTGTTATTAGTATATAAGTTAGCGTCAAGTGTTTTTTCCGGCAATGTGTTATTTTTTCTACTTTAGATCATTTTTTGAGCGCGTTTTTTTAAATTTAAATATCGGATTTAACAAGAAATGTATTCCAGCATGTTTAAAATACCTATTTTATTAATTGTAGATAATTTTGCCGTTTACCTTTGAGTCATGTGTCATTTATATAAAAAATCTATGAAAAAACTAATATTATTAAGTTCAAAAGTTCATGGCCAAATTGTCTGATATTTATAGGATAGGTATTTGTCAGAATACATTTCCTGTAAAATACGATTTTTAAATTTAAAAAAACGTGCTCAAAAAATGATTTAAAGTTGAAAAAATAACATATTACCGGAAAAAACAAATTGAAGCCATTTCTCAATTCAATAAAATTAAAATATAAAAATTTTACCACCAAAAAAACCTTTACAATTTTTCTAAAACCGTAATCGAACGAGAATATTTTTAAAATTAAGGGTCTGAGCCAAAACCGAAGCGCAACCTATATAGAAAATTTTGCTCTTGAGCTGTAACCGAACCTAACACTTTTTATCAGAGACCTGCAGGCCCGGCCCTAAACCCGGCCCGGGCCGTATTTTAAATTTTTTAAATATACCCGGGCCGGGCCTAAAAAAATTTTTTTTAACATCCGGGCCTAAAAATTTTTTTTTAAAATATATCCGGGCCGGGCCTTAATATTTTTTATAAAAATTTTTACATTATGAGTTAATGGTTATAAGATTATATTATATTATAGTTATGATTAATATAATATTGGGTGATGGTTAACACTACCTAACACCCACAGATCGATCTAATTATTAATTTCCTGCAAATTTATTCAAAGTATTAATATATTTTTTTATAATTCATATCTAAATTTTTACAACATATTTTACCAAAACAATCAAATAAAGGAATATCTTAAATAAGCCCCAATATTCAAATATTATTAATATATTTTTTTATAATTCATATCTAAATTTTTAGAATATATTTTATCAAAACAAATCAAATAAAGGAATATCACTTCTTGAAGTTTGTAATACCTTTCAAAGCGAAAAAGGAGAAATAAAATTGATTTTACTTAATATAAAGCATTTTTTAATTGAAAAATTTGTTTTACACAAGTATCATTTTATTTCTCTTTGTCTCTGTCCCAAATTCAAGCAATTACGTATGTTGTCAGGGACAGATCGCAAGATGACGGAAAACTATATAAAAGATTATATTAAATTACAAGAGGCTCAGGAAGTAAATGAAACACCATAGACCAGTCAAATTACGACTGTTGTTAAACAAACTGAATCGTTTTATGACAAATGGGGCGATGGTAATTCTGGTAATATGTCAATACCCGATGATGAATATTATAATTACATAAATAAAAAAATAGATGAAACATTTAAGGTGGATAATTTGTTAGAGTGGTGGGCGGCTCATCAAAGCGAATTTCCAATTTTAGCAAAATTGGCAAAACGGGTATTGGCAATTCCTGCTTCAAGTGCAAGCTGTGAGCGGAATTTTTCCACTACTGGGAGAATTCTTGAAGAAAGAAGAAGTAATCTTCAACCTGAAAAGGTAGATATGCTTTTCTTTCTTCATGATAATTTGTGAATTTTTAATATCTTTCTTGAGTATAGGGTTTGGTCAATCATGCTGGTTTTTTCTTTGCAAACTGTCAATTGCATTTATTATATTTACCTTGAGTCATGAAAGTTTTTAATCCAACATTTTTCATTATTTTTTTTTACAATATTATATAATACAATTATCTTCTTTTGTTAAAAATTTATATTATAAAATAAAAAATATTAATATTGTGCAATTAGATTATATTTTCAAAATACTATTTATTATACATGCATTTTTTTAAATAGCGATTTATTTTTATTTTATAAATTAAATAGTAAATTAAATACAATATATTATATTCTCAAAATATTTTCCAATTTTATAAATTAAATATTAGTTTTATTTTTTTAAAATGCAATATAAAATATAGTAAATGCTCAAAATATTATTACCATTTTTATGAATATTAGTTTTAGTTTTATAAATGCAATATAAAATATAGTATATGCTCAAAATATCCATTTTTATAAATAACAGTTTTATAATTTTTATAAATTCAATATAATATTCTCAAAATATTAGCTTTTTACATGTATTTTTTAAATAATAAGCGATAATACTCGCTGAAAAATATGGTAAAATACCTCATAGGTGAATTTTTGTATATACCAGGTCGAATATAATTTTAAAAAATTCCGAGCCGGGCCTGAAATTTGTTTTTTAAAAAATATCCGGGCCAGGCCTTATATTTTTAAATCCGGGCCGGGCCGTAAAAAATTTTTTTTTTAAATATGCGGGCCGGGCCTAAAAAATTTAAAACCGGGCCGGGCCGTGCAAATGGTACCTCTGCAGGTCTCTGCTTTTTATAGATAAAGGTTGGGGCTCCTAAATCTATGATTAAAATCTTATTTAATTCTTTTACATATTTTGTTTTGTTTCGCATAAAAAATTTTTTTAAATAATATTTAAAAAAAAGATTTTCCAAGATCGAATAGTTCAAATTTGAATTTAATTTCAAATTTTTTTATATTTTGTATGTATTATTAAAAAAAACATATATAAGGACTTTTATTGGCCACCTGAAGCTGGATATTCTATAGGGGCGCCTGGTGATAGCAAATACGTTTTGTTGGAGGTTTTATTCGATGACACCATCATTAAAAATAAGCATATAGGTATTCTTATTATACTTTAAAAAAAATTTTATATTGACAGTTAACGGTAAAATATTAAAACGATGAAAAGAGAACTAAATAATAAATAATAATAATTTTATATTATATAAGGCAATATAATATTGAGGGTTTTAAGTTTACATTCAATTTCATCTTTTAATATTCAAAAAATCATCATCATTCTAACTAATTAAGTTATAGAATTCCTTTCAAAAGATAACATAACTATTATAGGCCGGTAAGGCTAAAGTCCGCGAGCAGTGTCGGGCAAGAGGATCATAAGACCGGGCCGGAAAACTTGTACAAAGTATATTTTAGAACCGAACCGGAAAAATATAACTAAGGGTCAGGCAAAAACCTGATAGAATTTCCACGGGCCTATTCAAGCCACGCCTTTCTCTAATAAGTACACTCATTAATTTTCATAAAATATTTAGTATCAAGTGCTCTAAAAAGATTTGTCTCATTCCAAATAACATATACTCCTAAATTGAGAGAGAATAATGCTGGAGTATTAGCTACAGGACTAGAACCATCTCAACTCTATTTTATTCCAACTTTAGGAATAACTCTCTACGGCCATTGTGACAGCCATTGCACATCTCAAGTTTTTTTTTCTTCAAAATTTGATTCTATTATTAAACTAAATATAAAACCTTGGTTATTTTCTTAAACCATTTTATAATAACTTTTCTTTATCTTAATGAATAACGCTCTTAAGTATACAATAAGACTTCGTGAAAATTAAAGGACGGTAACATTTTGGTAAGCATAGAAGGTGGCAGCGATGTAACAGATACCCACAGCGTGAAAAGGCCCAGGCCAAATTTTTAAATACACGGGGGCCATAAATATAGGTAGGGCTCTATAAGATTTTTTTGTGTAGGCCCGAAGATTTATGTACGCTTCTGAGAGATTGTTAATATATATTATTTTGATAAGCATCTTTAATGTGATTTTGGCATAGAGGAGTCTAAAATATTACTCATTTTATTACTCAATTAACTTAATTTTCACTATTAAGATTTAAATTTCACTATGAATATTTATATTTATTCATTATTTCTGGTATATCAATTTATTCACAATAATTCAATCCAAATATCAACTTTTAGTACAAATAAAAATATATTTCGCAATAATTTAATAATTCAATTCTTGGCGAATCAATCTTTTTCTTTCTTTTTAATTATCACTCCACGATTAAAATCAACAAAAAATAATAACTCTCTTTTTTTAATCAATATCTATAATTTTTCTAAATATAAAATTATTTAACTGATTGATATTTATCAATCATTTAAAAATAATATCTTAAATATATATGAAATATACGAAATATATATGAAATATACCTCACGTCCGCCTTACAAAAGACCAAGACGTGGAAAAAAAAACGCGGAAAATTAAAACTTTTTACATTTATATGTTCTCTTTTTCTTCCTTTAACATTTCTTCTTCTTCGGTCTCCATAGGATTGTATTTCTTTTGCAAACCATTATTGTTGATCACTTTAGATATGGTTGATCCCACTTTGATCGAATTCTGGCTTGTAGTTGGTATTCCTCCCACTGTCCTAGCTTGTATACCATGTGATCTTTTAACCATTCCATCATAATTATTAGGTAGTCACTGCCTATTTCCATATTGTTTACTTCTAGATTCTATCTCATTTATTTTATTGTAGTTTTGGTACGCTACCTCCGGCTGTACCCTATTATTTTTCTCACAAAAATAACTATGTGTCACTAAGATGATCCTCGCGTTCCTGATTTTATAGCACATAAGTCGGAATATTGCAATCCTTTATTTGATGTCCGAAATTTTGACAGCGGAAGCATCTTTGAATACATCAGATTTAGGTTTTTTTATTCCCAATTTTTTTTTTTTATTATTCTCACATAGATTATTTGTTCGTGCGTCTCAATTTTGTAACTCATCACAAGTTATAGATATTTCTTTTTATTTTAAATAAATACTCAAATTTATTTTAATATAATTAATTAATTTTCTCTTTTAAAATAAAATTACTACTTATTAATTATTTTTTTTTAATAATTATTTTTTTCTAAATACATAATTATTTATATATAGCCCCTATATAATTCAAATTAAAAGAAAAACAATTTTTACAAAAAACACCACTCGTGTTATTTTCTTAACAAAAATATGTTACTTTTCACTTTTCTTTCCCTAAAATAAGAAAATCACTAATTGTTAATTATCATTTTTAATAATCTTTCTTTAGGTATCCCGTCTTTACAGAGAATCTTTTATAGAGAATGCAAATATAGAGAAACCTTTATAGAGAAAACAATTGTAGAGAATGTCGTTTATAAAGAATATCGTTTATAGAGAATGATTTTATAGAGAATTTATTTTGTAGAGAAACTTTTAAAGAGAAAACAATTATGGAGAATGTCGTTTATAGAGAATTTCATTTATAGAGAATGATTTTGTAGAGAATCTCGTTTATAGAGAATGATTTTGTAGAGAATCTCGTTTATAGAGAATGATTTTATAGAGAATTTATTTTATAGAGTAACTTTTAAAGAGAAAACAATTATAGAGAATGTCGTTTATAGAGAATCTCATTTACAGAGAATGATTTTATAGAGAATCTCTTTTATAGAGAATATTTTTGCAGAGAATTGTTTTACAGAGAATTGTTTTAGTGCGAATTATTTTATATGGAAGGATTAATAATTTTATATTGGAGAATTTTACAGTGAATGATTTTATAGAAAATGAATTATTTTAGAAATAAATTTTCTCAAATATGACCATTTACCGTCTAATTCTTTTTTTTTGGCACTTACTAAACCAGATTTAATCTAATATAATTTATTAAAAATATATTTAAGGATATTTATTTGGAAAATCTACTCAATAAGAGGCTAAGGATATTTAATCTGGAAAATCTACTCAATAAGAGGCTAAGGATATTTAATCTGGAAAATCTACCCAATAAGAGGCTTTGAGATTTTTTTTAATTACAATGTAGAATATTTTATTATTATATATATTTGATGCGAAATATCAAATACATTTAGAAAAGGAAAACATCAAAGTAGGCTTAAGAAAAATTTCCAAAAAAGCAATGTCCTACACTATCACTTGGAAAGCAAATTAGACAAAATGTAGGGACTGGGAGCTAGGCTAATCGCCCGTCTGCGTTATGCAACACTAAGCCTAGCCTTTATTAAAATTATTTTATAAATTTATTATGTAACGATATATGACGAGTGATTAACCGAGCTCCTTAGCCGATGCCTAATTTTTGACTATTCGTTTTCGCCTATTTTTATGCTAAGCCTAATTATGCTTAGCCGATTTTTTGGCCTAAAAACCTGGCTAACCGTTTTGGAATTGCCTAAAATTAACCGATTGCGCAACATTAAGGGTGGGTATGTTACACTTATTCAGGTGCATTTCTTGCAAAATCAGATTTTTAAATTTAAAAAACGCACTCAATTAATGATTTTAAATGCAAATAACAACAAAAAATAAAAAAGTACCCATCAAACTATCGCCTTACCAAAATTAAGTTAAGATCACTAGAGTACTGTCTAATATTCACATGGTAGGAGGGAACACTAGAGGGTGGTTGGATCAATTTCTGTCGAAATCATCATAGGTCCGAAAATAATTATATCTGAATTTACAAAATATAAAATGATAGTTCAAACTCTTACCTAAAAATTATACATCGACAAAATTTAAAATAATACACCCTTTTCTCTAAATTGATTTTAGTAAAATGAAAATTTCTTATTACAAGCCGTAAACTCCTATCTGGTTATAAGCAAGTATATTAATATTTAAATTTCTTCGTATCATTAGGACTAATTATTTATTCAAACTTTTCTGTTGAAAGGGGGGGGGGGGTGTTTTTTTCAAATCCCGCATAAAATTTTTGAACTCTATAATTGTCCCATATATAATATTTCTCTATAAAATCAAGATCTACAAATAATTCTCTACAATGTAATTTTCTACAATATAATTCTCCACAAAATAATTCTCTATAAAAGTAATTCTCTTTAAAATCATTCTCTATAAACAACATTCTCTATAAAATCATTCTCTTTGAAGTCATTCTCTATAAAGGACATTCTCTATAAAATAATTCTCTTTAAAATCATTCTCTATAAATTACATTCTCTATAAAACCATTCTCTATAAAACCATTCTCGATAAACGGCATTCTCTATAAAATCATTCTCTATAAATTAATTCTCTATAAAAATTATTCTCTATATAAAACATTCTCTATAAAATATTCTCTATAAACTACATTCTATATAAAACAATTCTCTATAAATGCATTCTCTATAATTGTTTTCTCTATAAATGTTTCTCTATAAAATACATTCTCTATAATGGTTTCTCTATAAAGACGTGGAACCCTTTCTCTTTATTAACACATAAATTATTTACTATTACCCCTATTCCATTCAAATTAAAAGACAATTTTCACGAAAACACCATTCGTTTATTTTCTTTTAAAAAAAATATTTTACTCTTCACTTTTCTTTCCCTAAAAGAAAAAAAATCAAACATGTATGTTATTTAATTTTATCCTCTTTTCTTTTAAAATAACATTAAAAAATTATTTATAAAATGATTTATTCTTTGTTTGTCCCCACAAGTGTACATTCCATTTAGTGATAATCTTCTCTATATCACAATAACATGATATTAAATAAAATTTCTTTTAATTTGCGACTATCAGATTGATTTTAAATAAAATTACTTTTGGCTCACATAGTCATATTAATATTTAGAAAAGAAAATAAATATCAGATTGATTTTAAATAAAATTACTTTTGGCTCCCATAGTCTTATATTAATATTAAATGATACAGATATCAGATAACCCCAATTAAGTATTTTACTTTCATCAGCAGAAGTATTCACTCTTCTCTAAGATGATATGTACCCTCTTTCTTTAAATATTTCTTCTCAGTTCTTCATTCATATATTTTTTTTTTAATATATATATACTTTTAATTATCTAGGGTATATTTTTCATTGTTTTTTTTTATTTGTATAAATTTTACAACTAAAATTATTTAAGTACACAAAGAGTTCTGTCCTAATAAATTATAGGAATTACAAGACTAATTTGATTCCCCTCTTTATTATATACCCTAATAAAATCGTTATGACGTACTCCCACAGTACCATCATAAAATAGTATGTTACATAATTTATTCCCAATATTATGTATCACACAACCTTTCTCCCACTTCTAAATAATTTTCCCTACAGGAAATTTTATATTGGTTTTTTCATAAGATAATATATTGTCAATTTCTTTTGACTTAAGAAAATCTAAGGGTAATCTGGTTCTTCTACCCAAAAATAATTTGGGTGAAACTCCCTCCTTATTCCTTGAATTATTATAATATAACTGGGCTAACCAGACTTCATTTTTTTCTTGTTTCGATTTTTTGAACCAATTTTTCACTATGGCTACCATTCCTTCAGCCTGGCCATTAGAGCTAGGATGATAAGGTGGAGTCAAAATATGTTTAATTTTAATTGAATTACAAAATTGCTTAAAATTTTCACTTATAAAAGCCGGACCTCCATCCGATACAA